CCAGGTGAAAAACTGGCCGTTCGTGGGTAGGAAAACTTATGGCATTTTCATTTTTTATGGTGTCCTAAAGTATTCAAAGTTTAGTTTAGGAAAGCTCTCGAAAGAGCAGACCCTATAAGGGCAGGTGACGAGCGAATCGAGAGAAGCAGGAATTTAGATGGGAACGAAACAATAGCACCTGTAGATGATATTGAAATAAGTACTTTGATTTAATCAGTCTCTTTCAAAGCGGTGTATCTGATGAACAAAAAGGATATGCTGGAAAAAAAGACACGCTGCACATAGGTTTTGATTTCATCTATAAGTTAGCGATTGTTCTGTAGGAGACGACAGATATTTTATCTGATAAGGAAGTGACTGAAAAGGGAGTCTGTCGACCTGGATATGAGCCAGTGATAAAGCTACCGCACGATTTTAAAGGTTGAAAATATTTTTCGCAATTTGTTTGCTAAAATGTTTCATTTTTTTTGTCCTGAAACCTTTTTTTAAAATTATGTGTCTTCTTATAAATACCACGCCTTTTTATCAAACATCCGCGGTGTTTTTCTTGAATTTTTTTTTCACTTTATTCCTGATTTTTCAGAAGTGTGTACTTACATCTTAATGAACACCAGCTTTAAGTTTTTAGGTTCCTAAGGAAGGGATACTTAGACCCAATTAAAAGTTTGATCTATTTTTCAGATGCAAGCGTGAACATAGACAAACTTTCCCACGCTTTACGAAATGTAGGTCAACAGGCAAGTCAAATTGTTCCCAGTGTGGCTTGGATGTCTGGTAGCCTGGGGGCGTTTTTTCCTCTTGTAGACACTTGTTAAGTTTTTACCCTTCTGTTTAAAAGCCAAACATCTGTGGATATCTTTCTGAATAATAGTTTGACTCCTTGTTGTGAAGGTACTTTTCGTCTTTCACGAAACATTTCAAGCAGTGGTTCTATTCATTTGAAGACGGTTAGGAGGCGTGATACCCTATCCCTCACCGATATGCATTTACACAGTTGGAGATGTCCGAAGTGGCGACAAACGTAACCAATCATTATTATATTAGAGTATATAATTTTTGTTTTCATTGTATCAGTTTCTCTCTCTCACTCCATGACCGTTATTCATTTCCATCGAAGTTTTATGTTTCTAAGAAATAAAAGGCAAGTAAATCTTTTTGCACTACAATTACACGCCATTTATACATGATATGCCGCATTAATCTGCTGGCGTTTTTCGCCGTAGATTTCGGAGATAATTTGTTCCATCACAAGGAAAGCAGAGCATTCCAATTCTGTTGAGGAAAGGTTTTTTAAATTTGATTTATAATAATCATTTAATAAGTTCTTAAAGTGGAGGCCGGAATTTATGGGTGAACTCTTTAAAGGTACTGACGCTTTATCATGCTTTATAAACTTCCTCACAAGAAATTCAAAATCTGAAACTGAATATCTGAAACTGAAACGATCGTATGTGGAGTACCTCAAGGCTCTGTACTTGGA